ATAATATTAAAAACATTTTATCCATAAAATACAACATTTACAAAGAAGAATTATGCGTATTTATGTGATGATTTTTTGCCTAATATGATGGTTTCATATCTTTTACATCATTTCAGTTGGCTTTCAACTGACAACAATTTTCGGTAGGAGTGCAAGTACTCGTTTTAAAGTAAGACTTAAAAAAGAAATCATATAAATATAAAAGTTTATGCCTCCCGATTGACATCAAACACTTCATTGCGTGGACATGGAGTTGCTCATCTGCTTTTTTGCTTGCCATGGTCTTTTATAGCCCTTTAAGGCTTACCTTTTTCACACTGCAATTGCAGCTGAACATACCCTTATATGGCCCACTTACATTCCGCACAGAAAGCCAGCTTGCATGAGTTGGCTTAGTCAGCGCTTACACACAAAACTCACACACATCAGGCAGTCGTGGAATAGCATATATCTATATGTATATTTCCAGAGCATATATGTTTTTTTTTGACTGCATTCAACGAGGCATGCAAAATGCCACCGAAATGAAATGTGCAAACAACAACGGTGAAACAGGAGCAACAACTAGTTTCGTATGACTACGGCTTTAGTTTTAAATTATTCTGCGCAATTTTATTTCCTTCTGACCATGTTTTCCCAAAAGGTGTTAATCAAACGGTCAGCATGTCCCACTTGATAAATGTCTGGGCAGGAAAATCTCCGAGGATTCCCCCGTTCTGCATGAGTTTGGCCCTTGGCTAGTTCATTTTGAAATTTTGTATCTGGTTATTCAGGGCAAAAGGTGGCAAAAATTATGTTTACTAGTAAATAGTATAAAGCATGTTAAAGAAGAATTACATTTATAAATATGCATCTGCATAGTATTTAAACAAACCATTTTTAAATAAATCATAAAACTCGAACCCCAAATATTATGTATTTATATATAAATTAAATAAATTAGTTTCAAAAATATTTAAGCTGTTAGTTTGTTTAACTTTGATCCATTCATTAAGTAGTTTACTTTGGATTGCTAAAGGGCTCTAGCCAGAAATTAAATTTTTAATTGAACTCGAGGTCAAGTTGATTATATTTTATTGCTTCAATAACATATAAAAAAAGAAAAGGAAAGAAACAAGACAATTTCTCTTTTTTTTTTGTAACCTTTTGCTGTAAAATTGTGTTGTGTGAAACAATCGAATGGGATTGAATTTCGTTCTCTCTGAAAATATTCTTGGGAAATTTTGGAATGTTGCCTGCGTTTCCATTGTTCATCGGCAATTGAACTAGTTTCCCAAATCGCACTCGAATGCTCCCCATATTATGAGTTCCGGCTTGGCCTTGTTTTGCGGTTAAGTCCCTATGCCACATGCCCCGAAAAGTATGCCACGTTGTTGCCGTTGCAACTATCACTTTTTACGCTTTTTTGCTGCCTGCATTTTATGACTCTGCTGCAGTGTGTGAGTGTGTGTATGTGAAGTGTGTGTGCGAGCGAGAGCGGACTAGAGTAATTGTTACATGCATTCAAGTTGACTTGCTGCGGTTTATCTGCAGCCCTCCTTTCCCCTTCCCCTTATTTTCCCTTTCGGCCCATGCAATTGGCAATTTAATGCCACGACAATGCCGTATTATTAGTTATCCTTGCCGCCCCCCTCCCCCCTCTCCCCTGCCCACTGCCACGCCCCCTGTGAAACCGAGTTGTGCATAATAAATTAACCGCATGGCCGGTTCGAGTTTTGCTCATTAAAGCGCATTTGTATTTAGTTGTGCATAAAACATTAAGCGAAAATGAGCCAACGTGACCAGGACAAAGCTCATGTCCTTCCGATTTGCATATGTGTGTGAGTATGTGAGAGTGTGTGCGTGAGTGTGCATATTTGTTTGGGTGTGCGTGCGTTTGCGTAATTACACCTGTATCCCGGCTGCCCACTCGCATTTATTCCCATTCATATTTATACGTAAAAGTGAGAAGATTGCCATTGAACAAGGAATTTTACCCCGCTCCTGGGGGATCCCCTGTAATTATGTGATTAAAACGCTCTCGACTCATGGGCCTCGTATTGATTTTAAATTGAATAAACTTATAATTAAGTGAGTGGCCTCTCACAATGTGGTGCAGACTCAAATCAATGTGGTTTGTGTTTGGGGCTAGGGATTTGACAGAATTGGAGCAAATGTTTGGACTTTGCCTTCGTTGAAATTTGAGCTTGTACTCTCCTCGAATTAAAATAAATTAATAATCGCTACATAAAATAACACTTATATTATTAACTAAAATTCTGGTACATTGCAAGTATTTACTTGAAAGGTTCTGTTTTGTCATTCAATCCCCAACTTTGTCTAAATTTCATATTTATAATTTGTTTATAAATTTCAGTTGGACCTCTTTCCATTTCACAGGAAAAATCGGCCTTAAATTCAATCCCAAAATTTGTCTAAATTTCATATTTATAATTTATTTATATCTTTCAGTTGGGACCTTTTCCCATTTCACAGTAAAATTCGCCCCTTAAATTAAACAATAACCATAACCATAAGTTTCTCCTCTTTACATATTCCACTCACGGACACAAAAAAACACCCATATAGGAAAGGAAACCCCAAAAACGTTATGATAAACTTTATTACACGAGTCGGTGGTATTATATGCATGACATGCAATTTATTTGCTAAATACCGAAGGGGAAGAGCATGACCTTAGAAAGCCACAAGTTTTTTCTGCCCTGTCACATTTGCTTAGGCATTCAGTGGGAAAAACAATTTAAACTTTCATTACAGTCAACACATTTGGCCCTCCTTCTTGGTCGTCTCACATTTGGCCACTTGGGCGACACTCATTCATAAATGCGAGAGTCTCCATGGGTGTGCAAGTGGGGTAATTTTCCAGCTGCTTCACATCCTTGAGCTCGACTTCTTCCCGGCTTTCCGCTCTCCTTCCTTTCATACTTTCGTACCCTAGGAAAGGGTATATGACATTTCAAGGAGTAATATTAGATGTGTAATAAATTATAGCTATAAGTTTAACTATACAATTTAGTTACAGTTTCTCCTTAAGTAAACTGTGAACAAAAACCATTTAAAAAAAAAATAATAAATTTACATATGTTCATATTCATAAGCTAAATTAAAAATTAACAGCTTTATATTTTATATATATTGGTATTGAGTTTTCTTAAACTTAACCAGTATCAATCTTCGCAGTTTCCACGTTCAAGTGTATTTAAATATCTTTTGAGCTTTTCTTTCATCTTCTTGGCCGAAATTGTTAGGATTTTTGTGGCATTTAGGGTAGTTGTAGTGGTAGTTGAGTAATTTCCAGCAACATCTGTGGGCAGACCTCGCGTTTCCGCTTCCTTCACACCCTTCTTCGACTTCCACTTCCGTTTCCGCTCCTTGCCCCTTGCTCTTATCATTATTGCTCATCAAGCGTTTCTAATGAAGTCGTAAAAATTGAAAACTTTCAAAGCATGTGAGCGTGTCCTTTATCTCCTTCCCCCCCTCCTTCATCGTGTCCTTTTTGTGCCGTTGCGGCTTATGTGTTTTGCTTTATTGCCTTCTCCTTTATTTTTATACCCTTGCAGAGGGTATTATAATTTTGGTCAAAAGTGTGCAACGCAGTGAAGGAGACATCTCCGACCCTATAAAGTATATATATTCTTGATCAGGATCACCTCCTGAGTTGATATAGCCATGTCCGTCTGTCCGTCTGTCCGTCTGTCCGTCTGTCCGTCTGTCCGTCTGTCCGTCTGTCCGTCTGTCTGTCCGTCTGTCTGTTTCTACGCGAACTAGTCTCTCAGTTTTAAAGCTATCGGATTGAAACTTTGCACACACCCTTCTTTCCTTTGCACGCAGTATATAAGTCGGAACGGCCGGGATCGGCCGACTATATCCTATAGCTGCCATATAACTGATTGATCGGAAATGCCATAACTTTCGTGTTTGTAAAGTTAGGAAGTTGGGATTTTCTATGGGTTTTATATTTGGCCAATCAATCCGACCTACCAAATTTCATAAGGATCGGCCGACTATATCCTATAGCTGCCATATAACTGATTGATCGGAAATGCCATAACTTTGGTGTTTGTAAAGTTAGAAAGTTGGGATTTTCTATGGATTTTATTTTTGGCCAATCAATCCGACCTACCAAATTTCATAAGGATCGGCCGACTATATCCTATAGCTGCCATATAACTGATTGATCGGAAATGCCATAACTTTGGTGTTTGTAAAGTTAGGAAGTTGGGATTTTCTATGGATTTTATTTTTGGCCAATCAATCCGACCTACCAAATTTCATAAGGATCGGCCGACTATATCCTATAGCTGCCATATAACTGAACGATTGGAAATGCCATAACTTTGTTGTTGTTAAAGTTAGGAAGTTCGGATTTTTTATGAGTATTAAGAATGCATCATATGAATAATTTTGGAGAATATAATTTACAGAGTATTCTGCAAGGGTATATCAACTTCGGCTCCGCCCGAAGTTAGCTTTCCTTTATTTTTTTTGGTACATTTTTTCCCGCCTGTCATTTTAGCCGGGTTTTTTTTATGTCTCTCCCGCCATTAAATGTTTATTTTTCTGCGGTTTTTCTTCGTTTTCTTTGGATTTTGTTGTGTATTTTGCGCATTGTTTGTGCAAACTCATATAATCAGCTTTAAGCTCTCTATGCCCGCAGCTTTATAAGCTGGCATACGCCAGTAAATATTTACCAACAAACTCGGTTTGTTTGTTTGCTCTCGACCGCTCTCGATTTAATGCTAATTTGGTGTTTTGGGCTCGTAAATAATTACAATTGGCCAAGGACAAACATGAGCCCTAGGAATTGTTTTATTTTAATTTGGCAACGACACCTACGCCAAAAACAAGTCTTCTTTACAAATGCTTCAATAGTTATCTTAATTAAAGTGTGAAAGTACATTTTGTCATTTACAATGTGTTTTTTTTACACATTACTGATTTAAATTAACAATACATTGAAGAATAATACCTATTAAGGATAATATTAGAAAACCTATTAATCTAACAAATTACTTTTCCAAACTGGCTTAAAACATATTTACTACTACATACTATTTATTAGGTTTATTATTATTCTGAAATTCCATTTTAAAACAAGCAATTCTTGTCATGAAAATGTCACTATTTGGTTGAAACTTTTGAAAAATTCCAAATTAACATCTAAATTTAAGGGCCAGGGGACATTTTGCTTTTTGAAGCGAGTTCAGGATGGTTTGCCGCTTCAATCCCTTTTATATTGGACCAGCACCGCCGAGCTGCTGTACAGATCGGAATCCCGACTGCGATTGTCCGCCCTGCTCGCCAGATACAGGGTATCAGGAGCCTCGACCCGTTCACGAGGAGTGCAATAAGGGAGTGTCCAAGAAGGAAACCAAGGAGAGCAAATGTAATCCTCCGTGCAAGGAAGCCCCCAAGAAGGAAAAGGCCAAGAAGTCTGAAAAAAAAGATACTAAAAAAACCAAATAAATGGAGTTTGTCCCTAATTTCTAAATAATATAAAATTAAATTTATTAATTTAAAGAATAAAGTGGGTGATCTAAGGAATTTTTCCAAAAAAAATATTTATGCTGGAGATTTAACCTCCCTTAACATGGCTTGAAAAAATTCAATTACACGCAGCTCATACATACAAACATAAATCCATAAACACACCACATCAAATCAAAGTCAGCAACCACAAATATTTTTACAAATTCAATTTTGAAGATAGGGCCATAAAAACTCAATAAAAGGCAATAAAATACGTATATAGAAGAATATGGCAGAGCAGGCTACAAACAATTTGTTCAGGTTAACGTTTTCTCTTCAACAGAATTTTTCTTCTTTATTTTCTTTACTTTCCCGGCCATCCTGCTTTTCCACGCCCTTTGGCTCCTTGAGGCGCTTTAATTTCATTTGCTCCCCAGTTTCCAAGGAGGTGGAAAAGGGCGGAGAACTTGTAATTGATTTCATTAAATCATTTGCCAAGCTAAGAAGAAAGCAAATTGTTAGACAATAGGAAATTGCTGAATTAGAGCCATTTTTCCAAACTCCTTTTCCATTTTGACATGGAAAAATCAGCTGGGACATGTTGTCCAACAAGTTATTGCATGTGTAGCAGACTTTGCTTATTTTTCCATTTCCCATTTGCATTTTTCTTTTGCATTTGCTCAGTTATTTGCTTGCGGCTACTCAGTCATAAACATTTTTCTTTTCCAATTTCCGTTGCAAAATGCAAAAGCGGGAAATTGATATTCAGGACTTAGAACTCTAGTTGTTTAGAGATGTTTACTTAGTCCTAGGGTTAAAGATTGATTTCGTAAATAATGCGTGTAAGAAATAATCTCTTATCTATTTAGAATTGTATGAAAAAGGGTAAAAGCATCAGCGACTGTTTAAATTAAAATGTTTGATTACTTTTTGTTGACACTTTAAAAAAGAAATCTACTAACTTAGAAAAAGTGATTCTAATTCCCAACTTTATGCAGTTTTCCCTGCCCTAAATCTGCATATTTTTTGTTTTCTTGAACTGCAGTTCGCGTTTCGTAGCTCATGTGTCCCAGCATTGTTATCCTTTCGCTCGGTGGCTTACTCCTGTCGCTTCATCCTTGGAATCTCAGCAGCTCCGAAAAGCCAAAAGAAGCTACTCCCATTTCCGCACTTCGGAGCTCTCGGCCAGATCCACTTGGCCCTCTCGCGACGTCTTGGCCATTATATATGCATACCGATGCAAATGCCGACTGGGCTTCATTTATCATTGACGTTGACTTTTATGCAAGCCATAACTTTCGGATGCGTCTGGACCGGACATTGATTTGACTGGGCGGATTGGAAGGTCTTGAATTCCGATTTGATTGGCCCGGATAGATGACTTCTGTTCTCGACTCTTTGATTTCAATTAATTAGTCTTGTAATTGGCATCAGGTGTCGTTTTCGATTCCGCTCTCCCTTTGTTGATCCTTCAATTCTATTTGTATTTACTGGCAATTGCCACTAACGATTTATTTGCATACAATCATGCAATTCGAGACTGCTTTTGCTGCTGAATTGAAGGGGATTTACCCAAGTGTTTGCTCTTCAAGTAGCTAATTAGTTGAGCAAATTTCGCATCGCTTGGCTGGGCGATAGAGGAGATTTTATGGTCAAAGGTTTATGGTTTATGGTTGTCGAACTTTCAATCAATAAATGCTTGTGCTGTGTAAAATGATTTTTTGCCAGTCTTGATAAGTGTAATGAAAATATATTTATTTACAAGTTGTTCATTAATTTTTATTTTTATTTGTTTTTATTTTTTATACACGAAATTTCTGTGATCCTTATAATTTTGTTTACGATACATTTTAAATTCTAGAGCTTTTATGAGTGTAAATTTGTTTTAATTTTTAGTATGTTAAAGGCGGTTGTAAGAATCATATAAATAATGTTTTTAATTTCTAATATTTCTTAGTTGATTAATCGAAGTGCAGACTTTTTAGGAAACGAAAATTTACGCATGCCTTTATTATGAAAATCGTATTATCCAGCTGACTAGAAGCAATGTTATTATTTATTTAAATTGTTTACCAGAAGCTAACTGTTGCATGCTATTTCTCCAAATCGGGATCAGTTTTATTGCTGTCATTATTTATGCATATGGCCGCCAGCAAAAGATAGAGTATGGGGAAATAATATAAAACATTAAATGCCACTATAAATTTGCCCGGCTCCAACTATAAATAGCTGTCGAGCCACTTGAAGCAACATTCGCAAATTATGTATACGCGCCGATGGCCTTGGTGGGGCGTTCCGTCGGTGGGTGGTGCAGATTTGGTGGGTAGTGGGTGGTGGGTGGTGGTGGTGCCGATGCTGCGGCAGCTGTGGCTCGGACCAAGGACAAACATTTTTGGCAGTGGCTTGTTATTCCTGCTCGTGCGTGTGTTAATGCCAACACGTCGCGCTGTGTTTGCGTCTTCATGCTTTCCAATTAAGTCGAGGAGATAAAACAAAAGCTGGAACAAAGGTGGAAAGCCAGGCGAAAGTTTCCCTTCGCATTTCGGGACAATGGCGTTGACTTGGAGCTGGTTTTGTTTGTTGTCCTTTGCTATTTGTTGCCTGTCAAAACAACTTTAGTTGGGGCCATCATGCGTGGCGAATGGGGGAAAACATTGCCTGCTTTCGGGAGCATTCCGAGTAGTTAACTTTCAGAGATTGCGACTGCGAAATGGAAATCGATCGAATGTCAGCCTGTGTTGTGCGGCATCGATAGCACATACACACATAATTAAGCAGCTTATGTAAGAGATTGTTAATCATGGCTAAGAATGACTGAAGCGGAGTCGACCACAAATTCATAAAGCTCTCACAAGCAAATCATAAGTATGTTTGAATGAACGGAAATTGGTTTTCTAATGAACCAACAATGAAGCAAATTAACATTGGTTGACTGGCATGCATATTTACAAACAACATTTCATTTTTTGACCCCATTATTACCGCAGACTTTATTATTTTCTTAAAACCATGAAGTACCATTAAATAAGAATAAATATGGAAACACATTTCTAATGCCCGTTCAGATTACATCCTCACTCTCGGCGAATTTCGGCCCCAATTATCTCCTCTATATGTGCCAGCCACTCACTTAACTTAATTATGTGAAAAATAATATTTCTCCGCAACCTACGCACTCATTTAATGCCCATTAAGTATTAATGAATTTTGTTGATTGGGGAAAATTGTTTTTTCATGAGAATTTTTTTGGTTGATGCGTTTTTGTCCTTGGGAAAGTTCAATGGTGTTAAACTGGCCAAACTGGAAAGTAAATAATGTACTTAAAAATTAAGTAACTGAATAAATGTAACAGTTGTTTTTATACCCATGCAAAGAGTATTATTATTTTGGACAGAAGTTTGTAACGCAGTGAAGGATACATTTCGATAATACTCTTGATCTAACTTTAATTCTAGAGACTTGAAATTTCGTAATAGTTTTTTATGTGCGTACGTATATCAATTTTAAAATGAACGTCCATATCCTATATCTTCCAAAGGAATGAAAAATTATTAGCGACGACTTTATATTTTATAACTTCCAACATTTGTAAAATGTTCTGTATTTGGTTGTCTTTTTGCACTCTATAATGGTTTTATATCATTTAAAACCCATCCCTTGAGTTGATTATTTCCCAAAGCTGCCATATGTATTATCCAGCAATGTATGTTAATATTAATTTATTTTCGGTATGACAACAAGGGTATTAAAACTTCGGCTTCCGTTCTTGCTTTGTAAAAGAATTCATCATACAAAAAAGCAAACAATTTTAATCAATCATAAAGAGAAAGTAAGAACCTTCTTATTGTAATTTGACTCGTGATGGGCCGTAGTCAAAAAGCAAATAAAAGAAGCAAATTAAGCTAATCGGATTTTGATATCGATTACGCATTCATACACACAAATAAAGAGAGAGAAAGCGAGAGGAGAGTAGTGAAAAAGAGGGATAAAATACTGTTATTTGCTGCGTCACAAATTTTGTCGCGACATTTTGCCAATTTTTTTTTTGCAAACTTCACTTTTAAGCTGATTTATAAATTTTTTTTCTTTACCCAGAGCATTTTGCATACACCAAGAGAAATTATGATCACAATGTTAGCTACCATAATTGTATATCAAAATATTAAACTCCTATTTTTTTCAAAGGGAAGCATCACAAAAGAAAGTTATAAATTTTATAGGGGTAGCTATTGTATCAACTTTGATATTCAATTTTTTTTGTTACCTCATACTTTAATTTGACTTTTATTTAGCATTTAATTTTGATTTCTTAAGCATCATGTTAAGAATTTGTTCTCTTCTGTACAAAGTTCTTACAATGTCCTAATGTCAACAAAGTTGACTTAGTAATCCGCTTATGTGTGCAAATTTGGTGCGAACATTGAATAATCAGTCACGCCGACAACAGGCAAAAATAATAAATAAGTCATTTGCATCTGTCCCCAGGATGAAAAGACAAGATTAGGAAAAGCCCTGTTTATTTTGCAGAAATAGGGGAAGTAGACAATGAGGTTATTTATTCCTAAAGTATTTCGACTTTATTAAAATTTAATTCAGTAAGTGTCTTTACTTGACTGGCATATTCCGTAACTGTATTGTTGTAATCCTATGATTAGGTTAACTTACCATGAACAGCGTAAACTATACTAACTTTGTAAACTGTTTTGTTTTTGCCACTTTCCACCTACAACTATTACACTTATCGTCGTTATGCACTCGACTCCCTAACGTGTTGTTAATTATGTTTCCAGCGACAGTCTGGAAACGACAGCCTCATTACTTAGGCCATGTGCATGAGGTAAACAGCATAAGAGCCAAAAATGATTAATGCATGAGCTCAGAAGGTAGTACAAAAATACAGTAAATAACTGAAAAACAAGAAAGTTCAATCTTAAATACCCTCCCTGACTTTTTATTCGTTGCTATATGAGAACATAGAATTAAGTCTGTAATAAGTTTGGTTAGGTATACATTATATAACTATTTTAAAACATTTTTTTTCAGTTAAAACCTGAGTCGCTGAGCTTTAGCTTGTTTTACAACACTGGTTATAAAAGATTTTTTAATGTTCATACACTCGTTTTAGTGAGGCAAAGTCCCTTGCATTGGTATAAAAAGCCGACAACTTTAACCACTCCCCACTCCCACTTTTCCTTCCCATTGTGATGGGATGTTGTAAACCTGCGAACCTGTGTTGCAAAATGTCAGCTGATTATCAGAGGAGGGCAGATAGGGAAGAAATGTGTGCTCGTTGGTTATTAACACGCCACGTAAACCGACAGTGACGTAAGACCGACGACGTAACGAAGCAAATACAAATACCCCAGGACCGACAGGACTTCAGGTCATGTGAGAGTGTGGAAGCGGCAGATCCTGTTGGGAAAACTGGGGACTGAGAGAACTCCCGACACCCAGCAGGCGGCGGAAAAGCGGGGCGACCTTCCACGGAAAACCAACCGGAGAGGAGTTTTAGCTGAAAGTGGTAATTAAACTAGTTAGGCAACTAATAGAAGGGACAGTGGGTAAAACGGTTGGGCACAAGTTGGGTAACTACTTGAGAGTAATTGAAAAACAAATTGCTAATGGAGTATACACTACGTGGGGTTTACAAATAATTGCTATTGGAATTAGATTACTGTTTTTTATATTATCTTAAATTGAGGTAACAAAATATCAGGTCATAAAAACCAATTTGAAATTGCAAAGGGCAATTGTAAATGAAGAGCCAGAAATTGAGAAGTTTTCATTTAGTTCACGCTTAATTTACGTTATTTCTTTATTAGCTGAGCAATAGTACAGAATATAATATAAACATTCTGTTTTAAAATATCTGTTTAAATATTATGGTATTATATATTTTTATAAGCAACGTTAAATCAAATATTGAAGTTATTAGTTATAAAGAAGAATTGACTTGCTTTATATGGAAGATTCAGTTTTTGAAAAATCAGATAAAACTTTATAAATTAAAAAAGTGCATATGGAACTTGCAATACTATACAACTGTTTCAAAAAATTCTAAAAAAAAAGTTAGAGGACAGTAATCATTGTTTTCCTTAGTAAAATCCAACGGATTTGTCTAACAAACCCCTGCATACCCTCTAATACTTGGGGGAGTGTACAGGCCCGGGCATAAGTTGATGCCCCGTGATAAAACTGCGGAAGCGGAAAAAATGCCGATAGCATCTGCTGCGGGGACAGAAGAAAGGGCAACCGAAACAGGCTACAAAGGAAGCTGCAGAATGTTTGCCAAGTCAGTTCGGGCCAACTCTCGGCCACGAGTTGGCTTTTTGCGTATGCCTGACACACGCTGTCTTAAATAAGGAAGCGGGCGGAATAAGGAAAAACTGTTATTCACCTGTCTGCCCACGCACAACCACACAGGACCCGCCTCAACAATTTCCCGCCATGTGAGGCAGGGTTCGAGGGGCATAACATGGGAAAGGCATAAACGATTTCCCCGACTTGGAGGTTAACCTTGTCAGATGCGAGGAGCATCTGAGCTTTGCTGTCGGGTTCAGCTTCCGTTCTGAGGCTTCTCGCAAGGATATCGGTTTGTCTTCCGGCTGCGACATCCTTTTGCTCCTGCATTTCTATGATTTCCAACAAGTCAAAGGCGAGGAAGATGCGCGTTGTTCTGGTTAACGAGCGGAATGGAGTACCACAAGGTCGGGGAATGTTCCTTGGCATGCGGAGGTATGAAAAGCGACAGAAAGTAAACAAATAAAGATTAAGAAATGTTCGTACATTTACTGCACGATGAAGAGGGAATTTAAATTTTTAAGCAAAAATATAGAAACTATTTTAGCCAAATAGAAAATATGTTTTCATTTTAGAAATCTCTTTATTTATTTACCATTTACTTCATACCCAAATTTTTCACAGAATCTCTCGAGTAGCAAATCCATTAAAAATTTCATCAAGCATCCACCTCAAATATTTTTCTAGACCATACTGCGACCCCAAACAATTTGGCTTATCTCCTCGGGAATCGCTCGAGAAGATGACACTTTATTTTATGTTATTCTTTATGCAGGGCATGTTTACCTCATCGGAGGCCCGCCACTTTCCTCAGCCCAGAAATAGAAGCCAACCGCTTTGGCCTGGTTTAAAAAGTTCTTGTGATTTTAGCATTGCTGTGTCATTTTTTAAGCACGACAAAATTAGCGCAACGAACTCGCCTGCAAGTATGCATACATATTTTTTCGTGCTTACGTGTCGTATGCGTAATGTTCCAAGTTTTCATCTTGTTCACCGCTTTTTGCAGACGTGCCCTGGCAGGCATTTCGGAGTTGAAAGTTAAGTCGTTTTACCTACATGTGAGCGAGTCCAAGTACTTAGCCGGATTTGATGTCAGCTGTGTCCCATTTGCTACCTTCCCGCAGCTTGTAAGCAATCACATTAAGCATACGCACTGTTGCCCCCCGACAAGGAAAGGCAAGAGCATTTATTTTTAAATGTTTCCATTTATTGTTTTCGTTTTTTGTTGCCTCTCTAGTTGATTTAAATTAAAAATTCACTTTTAATCGTTCATTACTTTTTTTGAGTATCCAAACAAATATACAATATTTGGTTTGTTTTTCCATATGGATTTTAAATCATTCGCGTTTTGCCAGCAATTCAAATAAAAAGTAATTTATGTGAAAAAATATGCTCACAATTCGATTCGGTTGTCTGTCTGTGATAAAAAACAAATACATTTTCCTTTGAAAACCTAAAATGATTTATGCAATCGAAATAACAACCAATTGATGGTGAAACACAACAGGCAATTCACTTTTTCCGCTTTGCCTATGTTCACTTTTTTGGCCATCGATAATATAATAATATTTTTTTCTCAATATATACACATACATATTCCATATAGTTGTCAATGATTTTAAATGATTTCACTTAGGTGTATAATTAGAACTAATGATAACATTTCATGTTTTATTTTAAGTACAAGGTTGAGAAGACTCTGAGCTTGGGTATCTAAGTGTTTGAAACGGACCATATGTGGGTACTAATTTGTGGCATGTTCGTATAGATCTTAATTGACTTGAATGAATGTGTGCTGTGTGAGAATGCAAATTAGTTACAGTTCATTTTCATTTTTTTTTTGTATCAGCTGCCAAAGGTTATATATGTTATAGCATTATTTCATTTTCATATATTTTTTATACATATACAAAAAATTAATCAGTCTAAGTACATTTTTTGTATGCCCTTAATGTTGGTTTTTTGTTTAGGTAGCGTTTAACTTTAACCCCCCGGGAGTAGTTGATTGGAATTTAAACTAGGGTTGAACTTATTCCATATATATATATATATATATATGCAGTTAATATATAATGGGTGTTTGAGTGTCTTCCGTTCAGCAACAAATCAACATGGATAAATCATTACAAGTACACAGTACAGTACACATACAATCCGCATCGCGTTAGGTAGGCTTCCTCCCATCAACTTGCACATATATCACGACCGATCTGCGCTTTAGTTCTCCTTTAGTTCAGTCCAAAGCCAAGACCTCTTCCTCACGCGTCCTTCCCGAAGGACCAGCGCTGCGTTCCCAAGGCCGAATTGCAGTGCTGGGCACTCACGCCCTGCTGCGTCTGATCCCTGGAGTCCAGGCACACGTTGATCTTGTAGTGCCGCACCAGGCCGCCCTCCCGCATGATCCACCGCTGGTTCTCGGAATCGTCGCACGCCTTCAGCACCACCTGCGACCCCCGCGCGAAGGTCACCAGGGTCAGGCAGAGGTCATCGTGCTTGATCTCGCCACGCTTCGAGAAGGCCCACTCCTGATTGCCGCCCGTGTTGTGGCACGGAAAGATTCCTGGAAGGGATTACGAAAATTAAAAAAAAAACATTAAAGAAAATATTTAAAAATATACTTTTAAAACTAAAAACACTATGGCACTTATATTATTAATAAAATCAAAAAGTTTTTATTCTTAAATTATTGGAAAAAGTTTGTTTATAAGTTGTACAACAAGAATGGTAAATATTATTTAAATTAAAATTTTTCAGGCTTTCACTTATTAATTATAAGGGATTATTTTACAAGTATAAATATTTATTTAAGAATAATGAATTAATGAAAATTAATTGCTTATAATAAAAGAAGCTCTCTTTGGTTTTAGGCTGAATTTGCGTTGTCTTCGAGATTTGAAGTCCATTCCACCTTAATTCATCATTAAAAATTTAAAATAAATATATTTAAATTAACAGACAATTTTCCTAATGTTTTCAATGCTTCTCCCCTATTTTTCTGATCTGACTTAATAAAACCTTGTGAAACTTTATGGGTTTGTACTCACCCACGGTGCCGTCGATTAAGTGGCCCATCGTGTCCAAGCACTCGGTGCCATCCTGTCGGAATTGGCCAACCTCCTGTGGGTCGGGGGCCTGCAGGTCGGGATAGACATTCTCCAGATACCATTTGAAAGGCTTGCAATGCAATTTCTCCTTCAAAGCCAGACGGTCATCAATGCTAAGCGAGGAAAGAAGGCACGCGGGAAAACAATGTGAAATAAATAACTTGACTAAAGTATTTTATGCACTAGAAGAGGAATTCATTTTTGAAAAAAGTTATAAATGGAAATTGCAAGACTTAACGAAAAATTAAACATGTTTCATAAAACGCATTTTACTATCCCCTTTGCAACATGAATTTGCTAGCAAATTGTTTACTACCTAAAATTGCTTAAAAGATATTTCTGAAATTTATCAAAACCAAGTGATATTTAAAAAATGCTTTTACAAAAGACCAAGTTAAAAAAAAAGAATGAAAATAATAAAAAATATTGATCCAATTTTCCAGGACAATAAATGAAATCCAATACCTAATTTTCCTATGGTATTCTCACTGATTTATAGCCTTGATATTTTCTAACTAGGTACTATTTGTACCAGTGTACTCACTTGCCGAAGGGAATGTTCTTGGCGAGGGGCACGGCGTTGTAGTAATGCTGCTTGTAGTCATCCATCCAGACCTCCGCGGCACGTCGCGTATTCCGGGCGAAGACGTTGCCGCTTCCGCCGGGGAAGGTGTACGGATGCCGTTTGCGGAAGACGTGACCCACGCGGCTGCAGGGTATGATTTCCAGGCTGCCGCCGCACTGCCACACGCGGAACGAGATCTCCAGGTTCTCGCCGCCCCACACGTCCATTTTCATGTCGTACTTGCCCAGCTTGTTGAAGTAGGCCTTGTCGATGACGAACAGGCCGCCGGCAATCATTGGCGTTCTGATGGCCGTGGTGGGGTCATTGTGCCGCATCGCCCGCTCCGAGGGACTGAGGTACTCCCACTTGAAGATCAGATTCCAGTCGAAGCCGCCGCGCAAGTCGGCCGAGGCTCCGATGTACTGGAAGTTGTCCATGCTGATCACGTCGATCACGGGACAGACCACGCGGCTGGGATCCTCGCGAACGCGTTCCAGCAGCGGTTCCAGCCACAGCTCGTTGCACTCCACGTGGCTGTCCAGGAAGGTCAGGACACTGCTCACCGCCGCGTCCGCGCCCTTGACCCTTGACCTCACCAGACCCTCGCGCTTCTCGTTGCGGATCACCCGCACCTTGTCGATCTTCGCCAGCTCCAGACCATCCTCAGCTAAAAAATGAGTTTTAAAAATAGTTTTAACCATTTTAGTGTAATAGAGTTTTCCAAATTATTTTTAAGAAAATAATTAAATGTAATATATTTTTTAGAAAAATTAAATAGGTTTTAGCTTAAAGATATTTATGTTATTGTAAGTCTAATTGAATGGAACTTCATTTAAAATTGGTTTCCATTAAAGTCCTTATTCAGATATGACACATATGTAAACATTTCTAATGGAACGTCTTCCATATTTTTAATTTTAATAAAACTGACATTTTCATTTTATAATATTATGCATTTTATGTAGAGTTTTCTTTCATTAAATTCCAATATCCTTAACTTCACTAAATAAACAAATCTTTTCTTACAAATACTTATTCCTAAAAATAATAAAACCACTTACGATGATCACTGTAGTCATCCACGAGGACGATCTCGCGAATCAAGTGCTCGGGACTGCGATTAAGGACACTCACGATGGTGCGAAGTAAAGTGGACCTCGCCTCGTTGTGGAAGGTGATAATGACACTCGTCTCGGGCAAGTCTTCGCGATATTTCTTGGTTCGGCACCTGGTTCGTTGAAATAAGACCCCACTTCAAATATGTTCCCTTTCAAAACGTTTTTTTTCTGAACTCACATGGGATTTCTAGTGTCGGGTATGTCCCGATTGCTGGGCAGAGCATCGCTGGCCTCCTGATTGAATCGATTTCTGATATAAGGATCTTCACCATTCCGCAGGGCTCCTGCTCGAATGTAGCCCGCCTCATTGAAGTACTCCACTTCGGTGCCACGTCCACTGGGAGCCACTGGTAATCGACCACCAGGTCCACCTGTTCCACCAGTAAGACCCTGAAAATAACGGATATTGCTTTGTGTTTTATCTATGTTATCAAAAAAAGTTCATTCCAAAAAAAATATTTGATAAATGTATTTTAGTGCGCTAAAACACTTTTTACAAACTTTTTTTTAAGACAAAACTTTAAGTATTATAAGTTGATTTCAGGAATATTATTAGTAGTAAAATATTTTATTGTATCAGTTATGGACTGATGTGTAAATTGAAATTTTGGTTTACTTTAAGTTAAGAAATTGTTCAAGCAATTTAAATGGTTGCCAATAGATTAGAGTTGACACACTAATACTTTAAAAGTCACTACAACATAAATCCAAATTTAATTCCACATTCTATAGTCCTTACCTGCGATGTCTCCTCCAGAGCCACGATTCCATGCAACTTGAGGCCGTGGACCGCATTGCGCTCGAAGTCCTTGACAGACCCGATTAGAATGACATTGCCGCCGGGATCGTCGGCCCCGCTGCCAGCTGCTCCTGCCGCCGCCCCCGCTCCCCCCCCCCTCCTGCTCCACCGCCGGCTGGCGCCCACTGGCGGGCGGTGGAGGCTGCGGCCGCCGAGGAGGAGTCGTCCTGGTACTGCTGCATGGCGGTGGCCACCTCACGTAGCCGCAGCGCTCGATTTTCCACCTAAACGGACACAGAGTTTACGGGGGGAGACAAGTGTTTTAATTTATTTCTTTAATCTGCGCCACATTGGCGACGTTGACGCCCGTTCGGGGCAATAACTCAACTCAACTGGGAACCATTCTCTTACACTTCAAGAAATACAATGGTTTAATAAAAATAAAGAAGAAATTACCAAATTGATACGAAGAACTTAAAGCATTCTCATAAGTAAAGATATTTATAAATAAGATCTTTAAAATTGACTGTATCATCTCACTTTTAAAAGCCATCTGCTTACAACAAGGCTTAGCAATTATAATAAAAATCATATTGAAACTTTATTTTTTCAAGTGCAAAAGGGAGAATGCAAAGGGTTTGGGTCTCGTGCAGGTTTATGGGAAAGTTTTGCCAAAGTTTTAGCTCGAAACACAACAGAACAGAACAGAACTAAGAGGCAAAGCATTGCGAACAGTTTTCGTGTTTACTCCAAGATTAATAATCTATAAATTGCAAATGTTGCCAGCAACCGGGAACCAAAAGCCCAGGCCACGACCACGACCCAGTTTGAACAATGTCCAAGATTTCTTTGGAGACTCTAGAGCTAAAATAACACGGAAAACCTTTTAGGAGAAAGGTCTGAAACATTTGCTTGCAGCACAAAATTTCGAAAGTTCTTAAAGACATTTATATTGTGCTTAATAATAATAAGATGATAGCCCCTTTAAATTTCCAGAACACTTTAAGTAATGAAGTTATAGTGAATGTATTTTTAGCTTTAGCTTTAATGACAAACCCCTACCACAAGTAAATAACAAAACCCAGACTGACAACTTTCGATAACCAAACAATGTGTCTGGTTCTTTTAAAAATACAGACAATGCAAGGACAACAATGTCACTCAGCAGACACCGAAATAACCTTGAGACAAGTCCTAAAAATACTCATACCAAACAAGGCAAAGACAATTGATGGGGGACCCCACTTGAGGACATTTTAAGTAAATAACTTATAAGTGCAAACACATTGAGGCGCAAAATCTGTTTTAAATGGAAATGCTGTCGGGTGAAATCTTGCATGTCAAATTAAGCTGTGCACAAAAAACATACAAATATACTAAGGGGTAGCTTAGTGCTTAAAACGATTTGGAAATTCTTGCTAAAAGGCAGCATGTTTCAACCGGAACGATTGAAACGAGAAAGACCCACAAAAGCAGGCAACAAAGAGCCAGAAAAAAGAGCTTCACTTAAAATTAAAATCACGCATACGCAGCGTGGAACACAAAGTGCCAAAGTCAGCTGAAAAAGAAATCGCTTTCAATACGTTTGCCACACATAAATCAGAGTTAGAAGAGCCCCCGATAAAGGAGCTCCTGACAAAACTCTTGACAAATAGATTCAACGCAAAAGGGCAATTAATAACCGACCCGGGGCCATGAAACCCTATTCCAGGGCCTGTGAAATTGGGTCACTGTTTAGCGGAGTGAAATGATTCATTTGTCAATTTAGTTGGGTCAGTTAGCCAGCCAAATAAGAGCAAAAGCGTCTTTGAATTGGGTTGGAGAAGCTCTTGGGGCTTGAGTGGTAGCAGATGTTGAATACTTTTACGGTCTATTGATTAGGTTGGATTGGCTTGGAATTGGTTAAAAGCATTTTCAAGATTTGAAAGAAACGTTTTATTTGATATTAGTAACATTTAAAAAGGATCTGCATCTCGTTCAAATTGACTCTAAGGTAAGCATTCGAAAATATGTTATCTTTTTTTATGAGTTAACCCCTCCAAATTCTATAAAAAGGCTTTGCAGAAAAGGGACATATAACCAGCACATCCAAGCCCATAACTTTTCTTGCCAACATCCGATTCCAAAGTGGCATACTTCTAAATGATTGTGGTTTAATTCTCTAAAGAACTGTATACTCAGTTTGGTTTGCAATTTTGGGTCGATTTTTCATCATTTTTACAGTGTTACCCCTTTCCAAATTTTCGAAAAATGGCCTTGCAGAAAAGTGACCTAAAACCTGCACTTCTAAGCCCATAACTTTTCTTACATACATCCGATTCCAAAGTGGCATACCTCTAAATGATTGTGGTTTAATTCTCTAAAGAACTGTATACTCAGTTTGGTTTGCAATTTTGGGTCGATTTTTCATCATTTTTACAGTGTTATCCCTTTCCAAATTTTCGAAAAATGGCCTTGCAGAAAAGTGACCTAAAACCTGCACTTCTAAGTCCATAACTTTTCTTGCAGACACCCGATTCCAAAGTGGCTTACATCTAAATGATTGTGGTTTAATTCTCTAAAAAACTGTATACTCAGTTTGGTTTGTAATTTTGGGTCGATTTTTCATCATTTTTGCAGTGTTACCCCTTTCCAAATTTTTAAAAAATGGCCTTGCAGAAAAGTGACCTAAAACCTGCACTTCTAAGCCCATAACTTTTCTTACATACATCCGATTCCAAAGTGGCATACATCTAAATGATTGTGGTTTAATTCTCTAAAAAACTGTATACTCAGTTTGGCTTGTAATTTTGGGTCGGTTTTTCGTCATTTTTACAGTGTTACCCCTTTCCAAATTTTTAAAAAATGGCCTTGCAGAAAAGTGACCTAAAACCTGCACTTCTAAGCCCATAACTTTTCTTGCCAACATCCGATTCCAAAGTGGCATACTTCTAAATGATTGTGGTTTAATTCTCTAAAAAACTGTATACTCAGTTTGGTTTGTAATTTTGGGTCGATTTTTCATCATTTTTGCAGTGTTACCCCTTTCCAAATTTTCGAAAAAATGGCTTTGCAGAAAAGTTACCGAAAACCTGCACTTCTAAGCCCATAACTTTTCTTGCAGACATCCGATTCCAAAGTGGCTTACATCTAAATGATCGTGGTTTAATTCTCTAAAAAACTTTATACTCAGTTTGGTTTGCAATTTTGGGTCGATTTTTCATCATTTTTACAGTGTTACCCCTTTCCAAATTTTCGAAAAATGGCCTTGCAGAAAAGTGACCTAAAACCTACACTTCTAAGCCCATAACTTTTCTTACATACATCCGATTCCAAAGTGGCATACCTCTAAATGATTGTGGTTTAATTCTCTAAAGAACTGTATACTCAGTTTGGTTTGCAATTTTGGGTCGATTTTTCATCATTTTTACAGTGTTATCCCTTTCCAAATTTTCGAAAAATGGCCTTGCAGAAAAGTGACCTAAAACCTGCACTTCTAAGTCCATAACTTTTCTTGCAGACACCCGATTCCAAAGTGGCTTACATCTAAATGATTGTGGTTTAATTCTCTAAAAAACTGTATACTCAGTTTGGTTTGTAATTTTGGGTCGATTTTTCATCATTTTTGCAGTGTTACCCCTTTCCAAATTTTTAAAAAATGGCCTTGCAGAAAAGTGACCTAAAACCTGCACTTCTAAGCCCATAACTTTTCTTACATACATCCGATTCCAAAGTGGCATACATCTAAATGATTGTGGTTTAATTCTCTAAAAAACTGTATACTCAGTTTGGCTTGTAATTTTGGGTCGGTTTTTCGTCATTTTTACAGTGTTACCCCTTTCCAAATTTTTAAAAAATGGCCTTGCAGAAAAGTGACCTAAAACCTGCACTTCTAAGCCCATAACTTTTCTTACATACATCCGATTCCAAAGTGGCATACATCTAAATGATTGTGGTTTAATTCTCTAAAAAACTGTATACTCAGTTTGGTTTGTAATTTTGGGTCGATTTTTCGTCATTTTTACAGTGTTACCCCTTTCCAAATTTTCGAAAAATGGCCTTGCAGAAAAGTGACCTAAAACCTGCACGTCTAAGCCCATAACTTTTCTTACATACATCCGATTCCAAAGTGGCATACCTCTAAATGATTGTGGTTTAATTCTCTAAAGAACTGTATACTCAGTTTGGTTTGTAATTTTGGGTCGATTTTTCATCATTTTTACAGTGTTACCCCTTTCCAAATTTTCGAAAACTGACCTTGCAGAAAAGTGACCTAAAACCTGCACTTCTAAGCCCATAACTTTTCTTACATACATCCGATTCCAAAGTGGCATACCTCTAAATGATTGTGGTTTAATTCTCTAAAAAATTGTATACTCAGTTTGGTTTGTAATTTTGGGTCGATTTTTCATCATTTTTGCAGTGTTACCCCTTTCCAAATTTTCGAAAAATGGCCTTGCAGAAAAGTAACCTAAAACCTGCACTTCTAAGCCCATAACTTTTCTTACATACATCCGATTCCAAAGTGGCATACCTCTAAATGATTGTGGTTTAATTCTCTAAAAAAACTGTATACTCAGTTTGGTTTGTAATTTTGGGTCGATTTTTCATCATTTTTACAGTGTTACCCCTTTCCAAATTTTCGAAAAATGACTTCGCTGAAAAGTGGCATAAAATCTGCACATCTAATCCCATAACTTTTCTAATTCATGTCCGATTATGAAGTGGTATGCCTCAAAAGCCTTTTGGTTTAATTCCTTAAAAATCTGTATTTAAATTTTGACTTGCAATTTATTTTTACTTTTAAAGGTTATGACCTACATATACATATATATGTAACCTATATAATCATTTGAAATGGGATTGAAAATTCTAAGAAATCAGTCTGAAGATAAAAGTCAAGCATTAAATTGCAATAACTTCCAGCCAATGTGGGTATCATTTCAAGACCTCCCACTGCAATTTCTGATTCGAACCAGCTTGAGCTTCACATTACAAACATCTCGAGGCTGGTAGAACAATCGAACTGTGACCTAAACTGCTCATAAACAAATCGGATTACGTATACGCAGCGTAAACACAATGGGGCGTGGACCAAGAAGAAAGCCTTGAGGCTAAGTGCCAACGGAAATGCATTGTGGCTGGACCTCTTTATTAAAGTCTAGCGAGCTGTTCGCAAATTCCATTTACAATGGTGTCTTAATTAGTTTCCTTGTTTGAAGTCGAAACTGTGGACTCTTATTGGCCAAACTCCCATCCGATAGCCCTTAACAATGTTGGTTTTCTAGCTCTAATTAAGCACAAGTCAGACTCAATTTTCAGAGCTATTTTTATCATAAAATGGTGAATAATAAAAATGAAAACTTTCTTCTCAATTTGCAGATTTATTTGTCCTTTGGGTCCAGCAACTCCCATTGCAAGCCGAATCTATTTATGGAAATCCTCAGGAGAGTAATGGCTGAAAAATTATGCGACCGACGTCAAGGGAAAGATGAAACTTTTTGCCCACTCAAAAAGTCAAAGTCAAGACTCCAAATCACAGATTTTGAGCTGATCAAATTCTAGTTTGCCCGGACTTGTCATTAACTTTTGGCAAGAAACTATCATCAACTTTGTCATCAAGCCAAACCAGAGCAACAAGTTGCCATAAATGTTTGTATTTTTTTTGGTCTTCTCTGCGTTTATCGCTCGAGTTCAATGTATCCAGCTAAATAAAAATGAAATAGCAAAGAAAAACGAGTCGGTTTGAATTGAGTTCACAGCCATTTGATGGCATTGATTGTTTTTTTTGTTTGGGGTCACAGAGAATATATGGAAATTTCGATAAGACTTTTGTGGCGAATGGGAAAGCTGGTGTTTATTTTCCCATTTTAATGATTTATGCGCAGAGCTAGGATAATAAGCCACAGAAACCGAACTCAATTAAACTATGATAAATAACTGAGAGCTTAAAATAATGGAATTAATGGTTCTTTTTGTAGACTTCTATGGACTTTGTCTGACATTGTGTGAGTTAAATGTTTTTGAATTATTTAACTTTATTTCTTTTTGAAATTTATGATATATAAACTGTTGTTTTTAATCACAGAAAGCCCTGAAAAGGAACTCTAGTTGATTTGAATCAAATCCCACACAATATATCAATTCGTAGACAGGACATAAACAAAATATTTCCAAATTTGATAAGCCGTTACCATTAAGCAATGGCAGTCAACTTGAACACTCAGCAAGTCGAGGAATCAAAACAGAAGGGCATGACGGATTCAACCCGCGACAATGACCCCAAGATGACTTTCCACACCGATTTGGTAATCAATGATATAATCGCCAGATCCCTGGAATCCCAGGCAAATCCGTTAACGAAGGAGCCATCATCAAGCATCTCATTTCGAACCACGGCCCGCATTATAATGATGCTGAATAGGACTTTGAAGAGGGCATCATCATCCTGCAATCGACTACTGGAGTCTCTGCCCGAGGACATTGATTACTGGCGCAATCTGGCCGAATCCCGCGGAGTGGCGATCCAACGCTATCAGCGGGTCGTGGACACCCAGCGCAGGCGAATCGAAACCCTGGAGCGCGATCTCCAAACCCTGGTCCGATTGGCCCGCGAAACCCAACAAATGCTGGCCGAGATTGGAGCCGAGAAGAGGGCCAAGCAGGAGCGTGGCCATGGCGAACACGCCAATTAGATTTTCCACTTTCGAACTTTCATTAGGAGTCTTCACAAACCAAGAGTTATTGTAATTTGGTTATGCCTTCTTATATTAGTTATATCGGCAATAATGGGTTCGGTATTCCAAAAATTGTTTAAATTGTTTATATTTATTGAATAGTAAATTTACTGCAAGTCGAAATTTTTCATTAAACATATTTCAAAAGTTAATTAAATATTTAGGACAGAAGACCATCAACGAACATTTCTATGAATTAAGTGACTTAGAAATTCGGCTTAACACTTCATAATGTTCACCTCGAAATCTATTCTTCAATTTGAATGATTTTTTTGGAGGCAATATCTATTGCTAATTAATGCTTAAATTGTTTATATTTATTGAATAATAAATTTACTGCAAGTCGAAATTTTTCAAAATGCTAAAGAACAGTGCGATTTATTATCATAGAAAATATTTCCAAAGTTATTTCAATATCTATACATTGACAGAAGACCATCATCGAATATTTTCTATGAATGAAGTGACTTAGAAATTCGGCTTAACTCTTCAACATTTTGACCTTGAAATCTTATCTTCTATTTAAATGATTTTTCTGGACCTTGACAAGTTAGTATCCATTGCTAATTAATGTGTCTGTTTTACAATTGAGAATACCATTTTCTAATTAGTGACAATTTTCCGTGTTTCCCTAATTTTCTTTATTGCTGTTTTCTTTCCACAATTTAAATTGCTTCTTTGAGTTGACCGTGCATGTGTTTCTCCCCCTAATTCACTCAACCTTAACCACTATTTGGTTTTATTTTGCTGTCTGTTTGTTTAGCCGAGAGTAGAGCGGAGATTTCTTTAATCTTGGCTGGGGCTTCGTGTTTTCCCACTTCGCCATGCTCTGAGTCTGACTCTGAGCGTGTGCAGTCTTCCAGCTGAATGATTTTACATCGAAAGAGCTCCTAACTGCATAATTTAGTAATTGGAACGTATCAAATTTAGTTTTCACCCATACAAGAAAATGCGAGGAGACGAACAAGCGAAACTTTATCATTTTTTGCAATCTGTTTCGGGTTCCCGTTTCTTTTTCTGCATTACAAATCAAAGCTTTTTGGGGGGCCACACCCCAAAATGGGCAAAACCTCGAATAAACCAAAGAACAACAGAATTCAATTAAAAGTCTATGCACGCCATTCGAAACCAAAAATATTGACAAATGCTCCTTCTGTCGGCAGGCAGAAAAACAAGCAATCCAAGGCGCCCAAGATAAAAATTGTTTATGCCACATGTCATGGGCCCAGAAAATCTTGTTATTCAGTTTGTTCACCATACATTTTGGGCAAAAGTTTATTTTACCAGAAAGGGTTTCACATTTCATCGGAATAATCAACAAAGTTGTCCCAGAAAGTTTCATTGAACACTGCATTGTGTGTTGACTATAAACTAAAGGGTTAAGAACATGTTTCTATAAGGCTTTAAATAAATTTCAAAATAAAATATAAGTTTTCAAGTGCTGAATCATAAACAAAAATTACACTTTCGACAGTTTTACTTCCGCTTTTTTATTACTCAAACGTTTTCCCAGTTTTTAATGATTGATTGTAAAACACAAGTCTGCCTATGGTTAATTTTCGAAAGCTTCAAAAAGAAAGAAGATTTGTATCTTCTTTTGATGACATTTTGTGGGTTTAATGTTAACCAGAAGATGGTTGGGTTAGACGAAACTGGTGATGAGTCAATGGCTAGACAAGGTGGAAAATCGAGAGAAGTGCTTGACGATCCGTGAAAGCGGCTCGAATCCTCCGAGCAAACATAAGCATAATTATCTGTTATGTTTGGCCAACACCAGCGATGGATTGACCCAACAAGTTAATGGGAAAACTCACATGTGCCTCCGCTTTCCACACCCCCGATTTTCCGTTGATGGACGATTGTGTGGTGGCAACTGCAGCTGCGTTATGCAACTCTTCGGTGGCATGGAAATTGTGTGCCATGCCAACCAAATTGCGGCCGCATCAGCAGCAGCAACAATTGCAAATTGTTTTGGTAGCAAAATTTGTGTGGCATCTTCGTTGTCTCTGCTTTTTTTTTGTGTTATTTGGTTAGCTTCCTCATGACAATCGCTGCAGTGGAAGCGGCCAACAAGTTTCCTTCGTCTTGCAAAACTCAATTAAATATATATAGTTATTTGCTTTTTGCCGGGCTTTGATCTTCCTTTCCATTTCTGCTAAGGTCAGGCCGTAAATCAGTCAGCAAAACGAGCTTACATAGTTATAGTTATTGGAATGGAATTATTCGAATGGAGCATGTTTATATGGCTGCCAATTATGGAGATTGTTTTGCAGATGGCTCTGTTTTACTATATTTACGATATGTATGCCTTTTATTATTATTCTTGTTTTGCCAGTAAACAACAAATGCTTTTCTAATTATCTTTTTTATGACAGGCTACGACTTTAAAGTTGTTCGCCATTTCCACTTTGGTTGTTTTTTTAAGTCCCTGTGGCACACACAGAAGTCATTTCAAGGCAAGTTCAATATTTTTCAATTAAAGTTTAAGCTTTGTGAAGTAAGTTTTCGTCCAGAGGCATGAGATCCGCATAATAGCTGGGGCACACAAACATTTTGTGGCTCCTCCCGACTCTGGAGCATCATTTGCAGTTAGTGGTCCAAGCAGATGAAGCTGCAATAAATTGCAAGTTGCAACCGGGCGGCAGCTGTTGCATGTTTGAGGTTTCGGGCCTGTGTGTTTGCGGATGTTTTGCGCCCAAATTGCCACTGTGAGTGACTTTGCCTAAGTGCCTAACATCTAACCCCGCCATAAAACCCACAAGACAAGGGGCTGCTGCTCCTGGGTTGCGACAAGAGATCTCTTCATAAAATATATTGAAGTGCTTTGCATAAATTGTGGGTCTTCTGGGCGTCGAGCTTGGGTCACAAACAATGCCTCATTGCTTTTGGCCACGCCTTCGAGTTCAACCTTTGACTTTCCGAAAGAGTGAAGAAAATCAATTAAGGCCAACTTGGAAATTAGCCCGAGAAATTCACGCCTTACGTCCATTAATGCATTTTACAATCAACTGGTGGCCTCAAATGTGGGTCATCCATTAACGCGGACTTGAACCGAAGTCGAATAGACAACTATAACTAATTGTGGATTGTTCTTTTTCCTTTGCTTTTCCTATTATGTCAGTTTCTATCTGTCTCTGTTTGATTGTTTTCCATTTGGTCTGGCTGCGAATGGGTGACTCATGTAGACTTTTCAATGATTAAGCACAAATAGGAGTCCGGCAGCTGGTAACGCCCTCGAAAAAAATAGGCTAAAGAAGATATATAGATAGGGACAGTGGATCCCGGCGAAAATAGCCTCTAAAAATTATATCATAAATATATGATCGGTGTATATCTAAATAAAATATTGTTCAGCCACTTGTGAAAAATAGAATGTAAGAACATTTAAGTAAGTAGAAAATTTATTTATATATATACTTTTTAAATAATATATAATATTATATATGAAAACTTTTTGCTGCACTGAAATAAAATAAAATATTTCTCTAACTCAACCTTACAAATGTGTTAACCACATTGGCAACAATAACTCAAGTAAATATATATTTAAAAATATAAAAATGTTGTTTTTTTTGGAATGCAAATATTGTGTTCTATCTTATTTACTATCTTAAGCAGTTTCGGTACACTGTGCGAATTGGGAGGCCGGCGCATGTCATCAGTCAGGCCACAGTGAGCTCAGTCATGGTCTGCTGTGGGATATACAATCGCATGCAAAGAGATACATTTGAGACAGTTCAACAATCGGTTGATGGATGCACTGTTTGCAGAGGGTCGCCGGGGAGGATAAATTGCCAGAAGCTGGCGACAATCGGAGCAAAAAAAAAAATAGATAGAAAATACAAACGACAAATGTGTAGTCATATTAATGAACACAACTTTATCTCGGTTCTGGTTGCAGTGGCATTTTTCCATTCTAGCTGGAAACTATTTGCTTCGGATGAAATTTATACAAAATATTGATGACCCAAAACCATTGGTCTGCGGTCTTTATTTATTTGGACTGGAAATTGGGGATCATTCATTTCATTTGGCAATGTTTTAATTAGTTTATTAGCAATATCGATGCGGCTAAATTATCAACCGCTTTTCGATAAATACGCCAATCACGATAATCAGGCAGATAAACATTTAAATTGGCGCATTGCTGGTCTATTGAGAAAGAGATTTATTTGCCAATTAATATGAGATTGTTTACTATTTTCCCAGTGAGGTCAATAAAATCAGTTGAGCATTTTAAAAATCTAATTATGGCGTTAACACTTTCTAATTGAAATTAACAACTGACAAGTTCGAATTGAATGATTAAGTAAGACACTGAAATGTGCAAGGGGTAAGCCTTTTATTGTATGTAATGATTTTGTGATTTATTATTGCAGATAAACATAATTTCCAAAGTTGTTTAATTTAATTTATTGTCAGAGATTAATATTTAAATGACGACAAGCTGAAGCCAATCAAAAGCAATCACTGCTAAATGTTCGAAGTTTGCCCTTTCCTCCCGATTCGAACAAGCCAAACGACAAAAAGCCAACATCCACAACTGTTAGCCATAAAAAAGGAGAAGCAAACCAGAAAAAGCCAACAGCTGAACACAAAGCGGAGGTGAATGCCACTACTTAAGTGGCTGAAAATGTCCGAAAATCGCAATGTAAAAAAATTAAGACAGGCCTCGAAAGAAAACCCCGCCAGTGAGTTTTGGCATTCAGTTGGCTTCGAGGAGATAAAATAAAAACGAACGGAGTACGAACGGTTGCCCGACAATTGGAGACCGTACCGCATGCATTTGAATTGTCTTCGGTTGGACTTTCTCGACTTGTTCAATTGTCATTGTCTGCATTTGCCGTTGGAACCGGTACTTTCACTTGCTTGGGCTTAAAACTCGCATTTAAATGATCATCTTTAAATTGACATTTAAATGTATTTCGATCATGAGTCACGAAAGAAGGTCTCGTCGGAATTAAAATGTCAAAGTGGTTTCTGAGTTGATTTTAAATGAGCCCCGTGAAAGCCGTGTAATAAAAGATTGTGTAGGAATCGAAAGGAATGGGAATTACAAAAAAAAGAAGTCAATAGGGCGTTGTTTAAATAATAAAAGATAGTATAATAAAATAATATTTGTTAAATTCATAAGAAAATAATAAACAAAAATTCATTTAATGATGTTAACTAAGATACTTTAAACATTTTCATAAACATTACTTTTAAAATCAAATTCTCAAAGGGATCTTTTTTGACCTTAATTTTGTTGTAATTTAAACTAAATCATTTAAAGGTCATAGCATACATCATAACATATAGTTGTATCATTTTGTGACCCACATTCAAACAGCATCCATCATTCCCACGCTCCTCCGTCTTTTTTGTTTGGTTTCCCAACTTTGGCATCTGCCCATTATTAAATAATAATTATTTAATACCCAAAAAAAAAGCCATACAATTATGACTGTGTTTTTGTTTGGCCGTGTTTGTTTGTGTAATCGCCGACAAGTAGCACTTAACCAAAGTGTTGTTACTTTTCGCCTTTGTTTTCCTTTTCGGTGGCTTGTGGGCGCCACTGGACTCCCTCATCATGCGAGTTGTTAACTGGTTGTTGTTTTGTTATTTTGTTATTTCGCCGCCGTTGCAGGTCTTCTCCTTTCGCTGGCATAATGAACTTGAACTTTATGACGCAAAACACGTTAAGTTGACGTACCCAAGTGACGAGTGTTGGGCAAACACGGCGTCCCCTCGCAAATCTCTTATGGCGTTTTATGCTTATTTTTGTAACATTATTTTTGAGACGAGCCTCGTTAAGTGATGTTAGGTCACTGGTGGAGATACATGGGGCTTGCGTGTTAGTTGGCCAAGTGGGTAAAGGTTAAACACTTGGGTTTTTAACGTTTTGTTTAATGGTTTAGGATCAATGGGTAAGAAGAGATGTCAAGACCTTGTCGTCTACATATTTAGATATATGAGCTATTGGATTTGGTTTAAAAATATATATATTTTTTATTTATTTTAAATTTATTTAGGTGTCAATTACTAAATTTTACAAGAAAGGAAGACAAATTTGTATCATCGATTTCGTACTTTTTACTCTTGCTTTTTCGAACATATGAACAGCTTATTGATAGTTATAAGTTCTTCGTGTTCGACTTCCACAAAAGAAATCATTTCCCCAAACTCCATTTATAATTACTGTGTCTTTTTAGGGTCTCTGCTGCTGACCGCAATAGGAAGTAGTCCAAACAAGTTGTAAAATAACAATAAAAATCAGCCAAATGAAATTGAAAGTGGTCCGGAGGCAACTACCAAAAGTATTGGCAATAGCGGTGACCGGTTTATATAACAAGAAAAACATCTGAGAATCCTCAATTTGATTATTCAAAAATATTATGAAAGAGAATTTAAAAATAAATATTTTGAGTATAGAGAGATTCTTTACTGATAGTCCAAACCAAAATGTTGGGCTTTACCCTAGATAATTTTTTTAAATTTATTATCCAATTTCTTCCCTATCTAATCCAACAAAAATATATATTGACAAGAAATTTGTTGATGTGTGACCTATAAAGGCACCCACTCTAGTTTTAAATCATATAAAAATCCTGACTGAGCTCCAGGCTTCAAAGTCAAACGTACTTATCTGCTTACAGTAACTAATATGAAATTTAATACATTTTTTGTCTGTGTACCCCGACAGCAGCAGATCAGCGATTGAGGGAAACCAGACGACCTTGTCCCGATGCGTTGGGTTTTGGCTGCGGTTAAGTTGCGTAATGGATGAGAGTAAGAAAAAAGCTGGAGAAGCGGCCGCTGCTGCCAAAGAAGCTGCTGCATTGGCGGCCCAGGAGGCCAAGGCAAAAGCGGGGGCAACCGCAGGGGCGGCCAAGGAGAAGGCATCGGCGGCGGCCACTGCGGCCAAAGAGAAGTCGACGGCTGCGGTAATCGCTGCAAAGGACAAGGCTTCTGCATCGGCATTCGCTGCCAAGGAAAAATAAAAAACATGGCAGTTGCAGCAGCAGCAATAGCAAAATCAAAAGTTGCAACGCCGAGAAGGGAATAAATCTAGCTGCAACATACCAACAGAAACACTCAGCTCCGCAGCAATGTGAAATCCGCAGAAGCTGCAAGAATAAGGGGAATTTGAGCAACTGCGGCAGCATCAGCGAACTCAGCAGCAACATCAGCATCCCCCGCAGCAACATCAGCATCTCCCCGCAGCAACATCAGCATCTCCCGCAGCAACATGAGCTACTCCCGCAGCAACTTAAAGGCCGGCAGCAACACAAAAAACAACAGCAGCAGATGGTCCGATGAAAAACTATAGGCCAGCGGCAATATAGGGCCAGATAACCGGTTGTGCCCCTGGCCATTCAAAAATGTATATCCATAGCCGGTCGAGCGAGAAGATTGTCATTTGCGCCGACTGTGACCTCTAATCTGGCAGAACCCCTTTCCCCGCACTCTTGCGAGCACAAATTAGTCAAACAAAATCAAAAGTCAAGCCTGTCTGCAGATAAACATCGTTAATTATTCATAGTAAATCAAAGCGCTCACCAAATGCCAAAGTAGCATCTACACTCTGTAAATACAACTGGGCGACTTGGGGTCTTGAGTTGTTTTGGGCAGGCCAGTTGTCATTGACAGCCGAAACATAAAAAGTCCAAGACGAGTTTTTCGATAAAATGCTAATTTCTCGGTTTGCCAAGAGAACTGTCGTTAAATCTAGATGGGGAAATTAATTGGTATGGGTTTTTGAGTGACCTGCTGTTCTGAGAAATACATTGATATACAAATCTAGCATTCAACTCGGCGTAAAATAAAAGAACAACGTGTATAAGAGTGCATATTCAATTAAATTTTGTGATTTTGCTAGGCCTTGAAATTAACGTATCACCATATACAACTTTTTCTTTCCGTGTAAAGTTTTTGGGGCAGTCAGTTCCCAGGGGACTCCAGCAAAACTCTTTCGAAGAAGTCAATATTTTTCAATACAATTTCTCGCCCTGCTTTCGTCATTTGCTTCACAATAATTATTATTAACCATTAAAATCAATTCGATTTCTGAGCTCGATCATCGTCGTCGTTTGAATTTAATTGAAATTAATTTCCAGCATTTTCAATAGCAAATTACTTTTTTGTCGGTTCTTTGGCATTCTTTTCCAATGACTTTTTTGTTCCCAGCTGTTGGTAATGCGATGTAGATTGTCAACCAGAGCGTAACTTGCTCTGTCACGCAAATTTTAAGTTCACTTTTTTCTCTGCGGCTATTCAGATTTGGTTTTTTGTATACAGACTAGTGTTTTTTATCGTCCACTCTTTGAAATGCAGGGCCATAAATCGAATTCATGAGGCGTTAAGGTCTTCGAAAGTATTTTAATTTGAACTTGAAATATTTATAACACATTTTGACTCTTTTTTTCACCCCCTTTTCGGGAAGGCCATAAAAGTTAAATGGCAGTCGTTATAATAGAATTTTTGAGTGCCGCATGTGAGTAAATCGAAAAGTAAACTTCTGTGAAAAGTTTCTAGCTGAATTTGCATATATGATGGCTTCATTTGCATATGAGCAATGATGCTGGAACATCTTGGAGTGTACAGCATAAAAATACTCAGAGTACGTTGCAAAACTATTGCATTGGAAATAGTTTCACAGGGCTTAAAACAAAGAGCCCGAAAACTAATTTCAACTTTAAGTGCTGAATTTATATAAAGCCAGATAACGCAAAACTATTCGTCGCATTAAATGCAAATAAAGTGTATTGAATTTGTCGTAATAAAGCTCCTGATTCACTTGATTAAAATTTCTTACTTTATTCTGACACAAGTTACTTTCTTCACTGTTCTTAATTTAAATCTTTTCAAAACATGGCTTCAGACGAAAGTGGAAAACTTTGGCAACAAAAGAGAAAGTTTAATTTTAAACTCTATTTTGAGAAGCTGCGGGAATTCCAAATGGTTAACCAAAGTAATTAACACAAACGCACGTAAAGAAAGAAGGCCAACAAAAAAGGCGAAAACTAATCAATCGGTTATGTAACCAACACCCCGCTGTTAACAATTAAATGAAATTAATGTGTGATTGACTTGTGTGCACGTTTTTTTGTGATTAATTTTCCATTCAAAACCATTTGGCGCTCTCGTTTTGAGTCGGTCGTGAGATGGCAGAAAACGTTGATATGTTTTTATGAATGAAATGTCATTGAATGGCAAAACTGGAGAAAAAAGATGTAAGCCATCGATCGGAAGACTCTAAAAATGGAAGGTAATGGCAAACTGGATAAGTGTACAGTAAGCTAAAGATAGCTTTAAATGATATCAAACATATAAAAAATCATTTTAATGTCAACAATAATAATACTGAACATAATTTAATTTGTAGTGATAATTTTTGCAGTTTGGTTTGGTTGGATGTATCTTATTTTATATTTAGTAAATTCCACTATAAGAAACGTCTTGTTAAAAAATAAATCGCTAATTAGCTCATAGCTTAAAAATATTACCACTTTACTTGTTCGAAGTGCTTGACTTTAATCTATAAAAAAACAGCTGCAATCTATTTAAAAAAAGCAAAGTAAGAGATTTATTTTTATACAAATTTCTTTATAAAACCACCCACAATCTATCTTCTGATAATCTCAAATTGTATACGCTCAGCAGATCAGAAAACACGAGTAATCTTATCTAGTTTTTTGGATTAATTCGGCTTGCTCTGGAACAAAAAAAAAAAATTAACGAGGTTTGAGTGGTGGACAGCTTATCAAAAGTGGGAAATACAACTAAAAATAAAATTATTAAAAAACCAATGACCAAGAGTGCAGTGAGTGCACTGTGGCTGCATTTCCTGTATTTCATTCGCAGCGCAAAAAAGGCAAATAAATCAAGTTTACATAAAAAATTATTTCGGTGCGGTGGTAAAAAGATGATTGCTGTGGGGGCTCCATGGGGAAAAAGCAAGGCTGGAACTCCACTTTTGACCACGACGATGACGAGGGCGATGGCAATGATGACGTCGGGGCGAGAGCCTGTGAAATTATATGCTCGCATTTCCCCCATAATCGGCTTCATTTGTGCAGATTTACGTTTCAATTTTTAAACACTCTGCTTTGCAGCAGCCTGTTCCGTAATTATCGTTTTCCACTGTTTAATCATTGTAAGAGATCAAAAGTGTAATTAACAGAGCTTTATTGAATTGGGTTTTCACACTTATTAAATTTTGCATACCTATGCCCACAAATACAGTTCAATACAAATGGTTTCACATACAGGACTTACATTTTCCCCTGCACTAAAATCGAATACAAACTTATTCACATAAATAATTACAATTTCCGAAATTATATAAAAATATAAATCGATCTTTTAAATGGTATCCCTCAATCGATTCGTCAAGCCCTGAAAATCCATTTGCAATTTATCGTATTATTGCATGGCCGCTTGCCTCAAAAAGCTTTTAAAATAATTTAAAACTTGTTTGTCATTTTTAACTTTTTCTTCTTTTTAAAAAATGTTCCAACCCAGTAGCTACGTAGCCTTCTTTTTTTGAAAGCATAAAAAATGTTGCTGATAACAGAAAGGCTATGAATGCCAGAACATCTCTCAAAGTGGTCAATAAATTTAAAGGATTTTTTGTTTAACACATTTAAAACATTATAAAAAAAATGTGCTGCATGCAATGTTTTTGCCACCCACTCTTACTTGCTTTATTTATTTTATTGGGAATGTAATTTCCCTTCTCTTCACACGCTAACAAAATAAAGTAAAAAATATATTTGAAATTGCTGAAATAAATTGACATTTCGCCTCATGTGAGGGTGAATTTCTTCCTTGTCGTGCTGAAAAATATTTATTTTTTCTGCAGAAAACACAAACAAAATTTTCCGTTGCTCTTGCTGGTTGGATAAATAAGTAAACATAAGAAACCAAATTCAATTGAAGTACACGTGTGTCGGAGACAAATACAATTTACAGCCACATAATAAAGTTAGTATAAATTGCAGATATAAGTGGAATAGGTTGAAAAAGTAGAATTGATAGAAAATCAAATTGATTTTTTAATGAAATATTTTATCATGTAAACAACTTAAGGAAAGGTCGAACATAATGCGCATTTAAAGGTATTGCTTTGGTGTTCCTTGACCCAAATAGTATGACTGACATAATGTAAGAGGGTATTATGCATAGAGATAATGTTTATTTGTTTACTTTATGACACCCAAAAATTGTATTTTATTTTCAGCTCTGAAAAGCACAACTTCTGATAAGAAGACCCCCGCAAACAAACCTTTTTGCTACCCAAAACTGTCACAATTTCCCTAATAAATAACCACAAACTGCTAACAATAGTATATGAGTTTGTTATATGACTGGCAACTGACAAGCCGAAAAAAAACGAATTAAAACTTGTAAAGTAAGCGACAAAAATACAGGTGGGCAAGATATACGGGAGCTAATTACGAGGTGGGTGAGAGGGTGTGAAAGAGGAAAAGAGAAAACAATGGGTTATCCAGTTGGTGGCAGGCTATGTACGGTGGCAATCCAATAATTACTATGCAGAGCGGCATACGCAACGGACCTCTGCGATGCCATCATCAAAATGTTCGTGAAAAAAGATGGTAATGATGATTCAGACGGAAGAGGAAGGATGGATCCGCTTCAAAGTTGGACACCTTTTTTTTGCAGACATTGCATTATTCGAAATGTAAGCTTTAAAAGTGCCAACCATTCACTACCAATGTAATATTGACAAATACAATAGAAGAAAACCTGACGTTTTAAGTTCTGACAAAGGAAAATGAAAGTGAAATAGTAGATGATGCAATATGAAAGTAAATGAGATACAGGGCATTACATTAAACTAATAAAAATGAGGAGAAACTGAAAATAAGTTCCCTTAAGTTGAGTTAGTACCACGGAAAATATATATTTTTTTTCTAAATTAAAAATATCTTGAGTCTTACCTTTTCCGTACTGGATTGGAAATAGTAGACCATCACGAACATCCATATGATGCTCACGAACACGATCAATTTGATGTTGCGACGCATTTTTGGACAGCTTCTATTTATATATTTAACTCCTAATTGGGTTGAGGACGTATCACGTTCACTTCGATATTTATTTATTTACTTTTTGGTGTGGTTGTTTTGGCAAATGAATTATGCGGCTTTCACTGGAGGCAGAACAAAAGCTTTGAGATGAGTGTAAACAATAAATATATTTAATTTTCGTATCTGTTTCAATTGTGTTTTCATTCCAATTTTTTCTTTGCACTATTTTCCATCATTTCCATCTTCACTCGATTCATTTGGTTTAATTGTGTTTGCGTTTTAATTGTTCAACTCTGTTCAGCTTAATTCAATTGAATTTAATTAGGCCTGTTCATGAATGCAAACCGATTATCTGAAGCTTTAAATGGTTTTGCCATTTAATTCTCTCCTTTCACAAAAAACATTGCCCACGGGGACTTTTTCGCAAATGTTGCGCGTTTATTTTTCGTTATTGACGGAATGTTTGTGCATTCTGGATATTATTATTATTAAAGAACTGAGTATTTTTAATGAATCAAATTTTGTACGTGGTTCTTAATAAAACAAAACTATTGAAATGCACCTCTATGCATTTTTAGAATATTTTATAATTGTTATCTAAAAATTGATTGTTAAATTGGGATTTTGGAAATAAAATGGCACATTCTTGTGTTACAAAACTGCGAAATATTCGTTTACATATGAAATATTCTGTTTATAAACTGTTTGCTTGAACTATTTATCTTATCCAAGAGGGCTTATTGGAGGGAAAACCAAGCAACCTAACAACCTGATAAGACAACAACCACGTTCACAACATGGTAAAATATAATTCAAAAGATTCAAAGACCCTCTAAAAGTTACATCACACACTTTTAATGGATGCTAATTAAAGGCTCCCAAATCCAAAAACGGTAACGATTCAATGTGGTTTATTTCTGGGCAAACGGTGGGAAAAGGGAAAGTGAACAACAGCTGTTGGCCAACTTGATTTAAGTGTTTTTCAATTTGGGTCTCAACCTCTGCAAAGCATTACGCATACGCAGCGTGTTACCATCGTGAGATAAGATAACAACAGTTCACTTCTTTTATTTATTGTATTGTTTTGGTGTGTAAATCACAAGAATTAACCACCATTGACCACTGTCTTTTCACAACCATTATTGGTATTGTTTTATTGTTCTACCGTTCGCCATTCACTTGTTCTCATTATATTGCATTTACCGTTTTGTCGATTATAACGACTGTTGCTAACACGATTTTTTTTGGATTTGAAACGCTGCCCGTGGCAGCCGCGTTTTGCCACCAAAAAAGCGACGACTTGGTTGGTTCGTTTTTTTGGGCCAGGTTCAGAAGGAAATCTGGAGTTTTGGCAGACGAGACACGCGGCAAACGGCGTCACATCGACAAATGGCCAAGAAGCGCAGCGGTCGCCTATATTTTATGCTGCCGATTCGAATTGGGTGTGAGCCGTATAAGAGTTGCGTTCGAGGCGGTTCGAGGCGGTTCGACCGCAACATGTTCGACGCCCATCTTCTATATCTTGACTGTCTTGATTAAATTACTTGCTTTGTTTTTGTTTGCCTAGAAGTGGGCTTTTGGCCGCCAAGTATTAGACAGTTTTCGCATTTTGTGCACAGAAAAAAAAGGTATAAAACAATATTGGAAATTAAGTATTTTTTAAATTATTTGTTATAAACCATTTTGGGAGCCAGGTAATGAACTTTCGTAGGCAAGGACAACTAATATCTTTTTATTTTACAAATTTCCACTGAATTTGTATCCTATTTTTTTTATTGTGTACTTCATTCTGTCGGACGGAGGTAAAGTTGATCGAGAGCAAGCTGAATACGCGGTGTGCGGTTGCCTTCAGTTTTATGAATTCAAATTAGCACTTTTTGGACAGCAAGTGTTTGCCTGTTGTGTATTTTATTCATCAATTCATAATACGTTCACTCAAAACATTTTAGCATTTTCTTTTTTAATGAAAGTACTTTAGGAATGTTTAAGTCAGTGGAAAAACGTAAAAGTAGGTATTTTAAAAGAAAAAACTAAAAGGCGTTCGTACTTTAAGTATACTAAAAAATTATATTGATGTGTAAAAATAAAACTTCGTATTTTCTGAAAAGGTCGCAAGAATGGCTGGCATTAATGACAAAATCAAAAGACACATAAATTTTATATTATTCAGTAGGCCATATATTATCAACTTTATGTTTCTTTGAAACGACTAAATAAATTGCATATTTATATTCAGTTTATTATTAGGACCTTACCAGTTGGCTATTAAAATAAAAGTAGGTTTGGCTTTTGCAATGCTTCTAAACTTTTATTCGCAATTTGCTATTATTTACAATGATTAATATTTCATTAGTTTCCATTGGTTTACAGTTTTTGAGTTAGTTTTACCATAAATGAAAAATTTAGCAATCTCTAATTAATGGCGGCCGGCTACATTTACATTTGGCAAAGTTAAATTGTTGTTTGGTTTTTCTCTATTAATGCAATTTTCCCGGCTTGCTTTTTTTAATGCATCTAATGAAATATTCATTTAAATTGCAAGAACAATTTTCAATTATGCAGATTTGACTCAACTATGAAAAAAGGAAACGTTTCCCCGGCAACAATGGTCAGTTGGTTAGGTTGTCTTTTATTTTTCCAGCTCTCTCACGTGCACTAGCTGTAAAAAAATATATGTTTTATTTATAAATAGCGTATGTGGGGCAATCCAAAAAGGGATGCCGGGGAATAGGAAAGATGGACAAGTGGGTTCTTTTAGTTCCGACCACTCCGCCCATTTAAATTGGCTTAAAAACTCAACGAACAGGCAACAAAGTCATGAATATGCACACATCCATCGGGAAACAGGGAAAAGGAAAGGAAACAAGACAGGCAACTGAAGAATACTCGAATAATTACACAAATACAAATGCAGACAGACACACACACTTACGCCACAAAAGCGCATATTCGTTTGGCTGTGTGCGTGCGGGTTTTCCATTAGGCGTAATTAGAGCATTTAGCATCGGGGAAAAAGTTAAGAAAAGCCAACAGCAGAAACTGACAGATTGGGTGGCATATGTATGTGCTCAGATACCGTTAGTCGGAGTTGCATGCCACACATAGATACTCGCAGATGTATTTGCACACACGCATGATTGCTCTTTTACCACTCAGACAATTAACTTAAAGTTGGCAAAAGCTGCAGACGGCAGCTGTGTTGGGTGCATTTTCCTTGGGATCCAGTTCAATTTACTTTTTGTGTTATTTGTGAAACTAAGAACTCAAAAACTTAACATTTCTATCGTTTTTCGAAATCTAGTTAATATTCAATCTTCAGAAATGTTCAAACCTTTTTCTTTAAATTTTAGAATGAAATCTTCGGCGAAGTTTAAAAATATTGTGCATTCGCCCCGTGGTACAATCCATAACTAATTGTTTAACCTTAGGAACCTAGCATTCATTTATTATTTCCAAGTAAACCAGTTCCAAGTGGGTGCTCTCAACACTATGTGTATTTCGCAGCCACATCCTTGTCTCGAATCGACTTTCGGCTCAAGTACGATAATTAAAAGTTGGCTCAATGTAGCATGAGTTGCAGCTACCTTGAGATGGTGTTCGTTCGCCTCCCCTTTGCCACACTTTTAGCTACTGATTCTGCTCCTTTTGCTCCTGCTTCCTGTCTGCTCCTTCTCGTTTTTATGGCTGCCTGGCCACATCCATTTGATTGCACACCATTTGCCGGTGTAGTGTAAGTGTGAGTTTGTGTGTGTTTGTGTTTGCGTACGTGTGTGGGATTCTCACCTCAGTGTTGAAAGCAGCTGAATCTCAACTGGATTGCACATTTAACTGTCATCTCGTTTCCTTCAGTCGATATGTTTGTGTAGGTGAGTGTGGTGTACTTAGAAAAATTTTAGAGTTGTAAACGGAAAGTCTTTTACCTTTGTATTGATAATTTACGAAATAATATTTATATTATATCATTGAATCAAATACTTAATACATTTATTAAAATAGCTTCTCAACTTATGATCTGTTTTACTTAAAAGATCGACTCTTAAAAACCACTTTTCCAGTGCATCTCTTTTCAATTCCTTCCTTTGCCACCACCCTCTTTCTCACGGAAATCAAAGTGTAAATGTATTTTGTCAAATGCTGGCGCAAAAGTTTCCTGTTCTCGCTGTCTTCGCTTCCTCCTCCTTATCGCACCCCTTTTGCCATCCTCCGGAAATGTTGAAAATATTGTGAGGAGGCGTGATGCTGCCGCAAATTAATGCATAATTGCATTAGTCACTTCATTTGTGGCAAGTTTTGCAGGAAGTCTTGCTTGCAACCGCCGAAATTCGTTGCAATTTATATCAAGAGGATGGAGGGGGTAGCAAATCATGTGGAAAGCCGAAAACAGGTGGAAATCTGAAGGGTCCTTGGTGCGTATGCTTAACGTCTTGAGACAGACTATGGCGAAAGGAGCTGATCGCCGGCATGTACGAACAGATTTATTGCAATTTGAATAGGACTTAAGTATGTGGTGGCTCAGTTAACAGACTTCCGTCAAGATAATAAGCAGAATAAAGCAGCTGTTCTGCACTTGAGACATGAATTTAATGAATTTTTAGTTTCATGGGATTTGTGTAAGCTGAGATTTCAAAGATTTTCAAGGACTTCAAATTATTAATTTCAATGAGTGATGCTTAGAACCATTGGTATTGTTTTATTATAGTTTTAGAATTAAGAAAATTAAGATATAGATTTGTTTCTTTTTAGAGATTGAGCTTTTAGTGATAGCGTCCTATTTTTTTTACTTTGTTACCCTGGAATGATTTTCTTTTATTCCTATGACTATTAAATTAGTAAGGAAAGCTTAGATTCCTAGCAAATCCTTAAGGAGTTTTAATATTTTTCATTGGGTGTATACTTTAACGCTCTTTCACTCTCTTTCTCTTTGGGTTTGTTGCACTGCAATGCCGGCCTTGGTTCTCACTCAACGTAACACCCTTTCTCTCTATCTCTCACTACCTCAAGTTCTGGGGTTGGGGAGGCGCTCTCCCTCGATTAACGATGCCCAAACTTTTGATAGGTAACCCCGGCTCTCTCTCTCTTTTTCCCATGGGGCTTCATAACAAACTGTCCATCAGCTGCTCCATCCGCCGTATAAATATACATACGTACTTATATACTTATATATATAACTATATAGCACCACTGTTGTTTTTGGCACGCGCCCCTTTCGACTTTGTTTGTCTGCCTTCGATTTTTAACAAACAAACTGCACAAATGCAAAATGTAGAATGCTAAATGCAAACGCTAACACAAACAAATGCAAATGCCTTAACATTGATTAGTTGCATTTTTTGCTTACACTCAAAATACGTCGTGAACACGTTATTTTATCACTTCTTTGATGATTAATGGATTTATGATTTTTTTACTATTGCTTGCGTTTTTACATATTTTTTGTTGGTTTTAAATGCACTTTGGTGTTTTGCTGTATGCTACGTTATTTGAACAAGGCGTGTGTACAAAAATATATGTTTAATTAATGGTAATATGTTAACATCAAGTTGTTTAACTTATAAATTTATCATTTATTTAGTTGCTACAACGCGTCGACTTTCGTTTTCCGTTCCATTCGACAGACTGAACTTTTTTATCCCGTTGTCTGTTTTGTGTCTGTTTCGGGTTGTTTTCTTTCCTTCTTTCTCTGTTTTTTTTTTGGATGAAGTAACTTTTCTTCTTCTTTTTGTCGCGCATTTCCGTATTTTGTTACCCTTTGCTTCCTACTGTTTTGCTCTCCCTCGATTTTAAGGGTGCTTTTTGGCTAACAGAGAGAGAACTCTCTTTTATAATTTCTCCCCTTTTGCGCATGCGCGGACCTTGTTTTGGGTATTTCAAAATGCAAATACCGTTACAAGTGGTCCTTCAACCTTTGACAAGTTGAAAAAGAGTGAATTGCAGCTGGGCAACATTTTATTTAATTTCTTGACTTGCTACTCACAAAAAATCAATTTCAAGAGAATATTATTCTTAATAATAATAATAATAATAATTGATTATACCATAAGATATGCACATATGAAAACTATTAATAAAAATTTATTAAAAATTAATTGCAAATAAAGACTACGAAAATACCACAAATAATAATTAATGAATAAGGACTTGATGTTAAATAAACCAAAAATGTTGTATAGTTTTCCTCTCTATTTATGACTA